ATTGTCAGAGGCGGTCTTAGAACATGCTCAGAAATGGACTGTTTGGGGAAACAACTAATTCCGCAGTGGGTGGTGGTAGAGTGAGTACATGGCAGAAATACTATTGGAGATCTGTTCTTCTGCCTTCACTCCTCCCTAGACTCTTGCCATTATGTTTCACACCGATGATCACTTATCTGTGGTATTTATATATCCCCTTAATGGAATTGCAGCATTGGCACTGCCAATAGAAATTGTGAGTGGTGCATGTCACTATCCCAGATCCTTTCTTGTCATAGGTTTTGAAAGTCATTGGGCATCCCACCATTGAGAAGATATTCTCCTCTCTCACTCTCTAGCTGGTGTCTCAGCGAATGAACTTTAAAATGCACTGAGGCTGTATGTCTGGCAGAAAGTCTGCCTGAAATGTCTGTGCATATGACTGAAACCTGCACTACCAGCCCATCCAGTCCGGCATGCATTTCCATAGTGACAATAACTGTAATTTATCCCTGGCATCATATCAGCATTTCTTACACTAAAACCTTTTTCTCTGGCTAGTATGGAATTGCAGCTACCTGTAGGTATCTGGTGCACATGGGGCAGGCTTTCTGAAAAGTAGTGCCCTGGGCAGATGAAAGTGGGTGGGATTCTTCTCTGTATAATACAGCCTGGGATATGATGTCCTGGAGCAGGATTCCAGTTTGAGTGCAGACAACAACTGTTCGGGATTCACACTCTGACTAGGATTGCTTTGAATCCAGAAGGCCATTTCTGTCCCTTTGCAGAGCAGATTCCATCCGCCCTCAGCGAAAGGCTGAATCTTCCAGGCAGTCCCCCATCCAGCTGCACCTTAAAATCCCTGGTGATTACCTTCCTGCCTGTCATATGTGCCTTTACTGAGCAGTAGGTGACATATGCTCTTATAGTCATGAGATCCTGTGTTTAAATAGCTACTGGGCATGTGAGGGGAGCCAGTCCCATACATTCCTTCTCCAAACAGAGACCGGCACTTCAGTGCCATAGACAAAGGAGCAGGTATCCCAGAACCGCTCCATCTGCCTGCCCCTCCCTGTAAAAAAATGATAGCATTCTTACCATCTTATCTCTTTGGAAGCTGGACAGTGGGTGATGGGAAATGCAAGAGCACTCTCTGTGCTGCTGTCAGTCTGGGTTAACTCTCCCCCTTCCTCCACTCCATTGGCTTCTCCCATTCATGCAAAAACAAGCATGTGTGTGCAGTTCTTTCAGTTTGTTTAATTCCTGCACCTGTAGACCCATCACTGGGCTATAACATGGAGATGGGTTCTGCTAGGCTTGGAAAGGTAGGTTAACTGTTACTCAGTCCTGAGCATCTCTAGCCTTCAAGAAAAATGTAAAAATAACAGAGATCCGTTCAGTATTGCCTAGTACTGGGCTTTGCTTATCTCCCTGCTCAGATGTAGTTTGAAAAGGAAGGAGGTCTAGCTGGTGATAAGCACATTCTTGTTGAAGGTTGGTTCCGTTCCCCCTCTGAAATCATGTCCTAGAATTGTGTTGAACTCCAGGAGCTCGTTGTGTGCATGGCTGGACGCTGTTCAGAATATAGTGTCCATGGCACAAGGATGCACTTTATTATGCTGCAGTAATTCCATGTTTACAGTGTTTAGTGGCTTGACCTGACTGGAAGCAAGGGATGTACCCAAAAGAATGCCAGGAGCCCTGAATACTGTCCTGTCCTGTTAGAGCTGTGGCAGCTTGGCAACTGCAGCTGTTTTCAAGAGAGCCCCTGACATTTCATCTGTGCTAACTTTATTTTGCCTTGTCTGTCCCCTATCATATACAGAGTTTAGAAAGTCAGTCACATCACTTCAGCTTTTCTTTTCTTCCTGATCCTATAGTAGAATATGCCTTTAGATGGTCAGAATCTTTGCTGTCTTGCATTCTCTGGCTGTCTACAGCAGGGCAGGAGAAATTGGGCTTATAGCATGTCAAATGCTACAAGAATTGTGCAGTGATGTAGGTGCACGATAACTTGGTTAGGGAGTGGGGCGGCTAGCTGCTGTGTAGGAAGAAATTCTGTACAGCAGAATGATCTTGATGAATTTATAAAAACATCTTGCTGGAACTCTCCTGTTCAAATAGGAAAATAGTGTACCTACACCTCTGCCTGGTGTACTAGCTAACAAAGCTTTTTATTCAGACTTTACTCTTCCAGCCTCCCTCCAAAGACAATGCTGAGTGGAAATGACCCTCCCCCTTTTCCCTTGGGAGTGACAGTTTTGGGATAACAGTTATAACTCGACCAAAACATTTGGCCTGGTACCTCTCTCTCTCATTAGCCTGATAATCTGCTGGAAATTTAGCGCTGAGTTCTGCTCATGTGGGTATAAAAACTGGCCACAGTCTCTTGACTTCAGTGTTCTCCTTTCCAGCTGCCGTTATGTTCCTCTTCATGCATGGAGAGACTGCTGTGCATGCAAAGGCACTGCTGGTGCTATGTTGCTGTAGCCTTAGAAGCAAGCAACTTGCCACCAGACCTCAGGGCTGTTCCTACAACTTCCTGCTAACCGATGCCAGTTAATGAGCCCAAATTCTGGGTATAAGGCTCATTAGTCTAATGAGGAATATATTGGGAGCCCACTCTGAGGCATTTAGAAATAGCTATTGTTTGTCTAGACTATTATAAATTGGTGCCATGGAGCTAAGCAACTGCAAGAAAGAGCTAAAACTTAACTTCTCAAAGCTGTTGCTGGAAGAGAGATCAAACAAACATTTTAAGTACAGCCACAGTAGTTTCTGATCTGAAGATGTGGAGGGAGAGAGGAAAAGCATGGGGCATCCATGTGTTATTACCATGGAAAGTGTAACACTGCCAAACTGGAGCTTCCTTGGTACTTCTCATGAAGTTCTGTAAGCAGCTAAGATAGTTTGTCCTGGCAAACGTGATTTTTGTATATAGAATGGAAATCGCATACAATTTTTGATCATGTCATGGGTGCCAAGATGAAATCTTAATCCCCCTTCTGTTTTGTTTCAACAATCTCTAGCACCCATACCAGGAAGTTGTGGTTTAAAAATAAGTAGACTTTTAAGATATTTTTGTACATTGTATGTAGATGCTTGTTGAAGTGATATCTTATTAAACTGTTGCTCTAATCACTTATCTTTTGGGGGTCTGTTTTGGGAACAGGCATCACTTTTGCCACTCCCTGCACTGCAAACACTCTGTTCATAGTAGCCTAGAGAAGAGAAGGCAGGAGCAGTATCCAGTACTGTAACTGAAGGAGCAGTTGCTGTAATTCTGGGGGAGACACAACTGGGACTAAAGCCAAGATCATCAGATATTTAGGGGCCTACCTCCTGTTGAAATCAATGAATTAAGCTCCTAAATACCTGTGGAACTGGGCCTCAATTTCCATGATGGGGGTTAACTGGGAGTTTTCCTCAGCTATTCACTCCATGTAACCATACTTCAGTCAGACCTTGCATAGGATACTAGCCTATTGTGCAGGTGCCAGTCACAAGGCAGATGTGTGGGAGAGCTGGGCCCTACCTGAGTGCTTTTAATTCACATTGGCTGCTAAGCTCTAATAAGCTGCCTTTTGTGTAGCCAAGCTGAGAGTCTTATGTGAGCATGTTGGGGGCAGTCATGTGAATTCATGCATTTCTCGGGGGCTGGGTAAATGTGGATCTCTTAAGGTAATCATTCCCTTAGATAACCCTGGCTTATCTATGTTAGTGTTGATCCTTTCCCCAGTGAGGCAGTTGGTGCAATCTCATTCAGCATGTGCCTGAGGGGTCTTGGATTTCCCTAGCTATTTTGCCCTCCAGGGTAAGAAATCAATGACACCTCTGCAAGCTCATGCTGTAAGCGCCTCCCTACTAAACAAATGTCAAACTCCATCTAGTCAAGCAAACAGAAGGGAACACAAAAGTAACTCTTGTCCTAAGGCTTCTGTATTGGACACAATGAAAGGAAACTAAGCAGTCATGGGATTAGAGAGAAGGTCCTCTGGCGGATCATTAACTGCTTGAATGATAGGAATTGAAGGGTAGGAATAAATGGTCAGTTTTTACAATGGAGAGGTGAACAGCAGGATTCTCCTACAATCTGGGCTGCTCAACACATTCAATGATCTAGAAAGGGGAGTGAACAGGAAGTGGCAGAGTTTGCAAATGATTACAAAATTACTTAGGATAGCTAAGGCCAAAGCAGATGGCAAGGAGTTACAAAGGGATCTCACAAAACTGGCAGATGAATTTTTGTTAATACAAAGTAATGCACGGTGGGGAAAAATAATCCCACCTATAGATACATGATGGGTTCTAAATTACTATTACTGTCTAAAAAAAGAGATCTAGGTGGCACCTGTCATAACTAGAAAGGGAAGGGTAACAATCCTCCTATATACAATACTACAAAATCCTTTTACCTGTAAAGGGTTAAGAAGCAGGTAACCTGGCTGACACCTGACCCAAAGGACCTATAAGGGGACAAGATACTTTCAAATCTGGGGGGGGTGAGGGGGGAAGGCTTTTGTTTTTGCGCTCTTTGTTTTGGTGGTGGTCGCTCTTAGGACTAAGAGGGACCGGACATCAATCCATATTCTCCAAATCTTTCTGCACAAGTCTTTCATATTTCAAACTTGTAAGCAACAGCCAGGCAAGTCATATTAGTTTTATCTTTGTTTTCTCAACTTGTAAATGTTCCTTTTGCTAGAGGGTTTACCTCTGGCTGCTGTAACTTTGAACCTAAGGCTAGAGGGGTTTCCTCTGGGCTCTTTGAATCTGATTACCCTGTAAAGTTATTTTCCATCCTGATTTTACAGAGAATTTTTACCTTTTAATAAAATTCTTCTATTAAGAACCTAATTGATTTTTCATTGTTTTAAGATCCAAGGGTTTGGATCTGTGTTCACCAGGACTAATTGGTGAGGGGATATTCTCAAGCCTACCCAGGAAAGGGGGGTTAGGGGCTTGGGAGATATTTGGGGAAAGGCAGAGTTCCAAGTGGCTCTCCATAAATATTTGGTTAAAATGCTTGGTGGTGGCAGTGTATTTTTAACCTAAGCTGGTAAAAAATAAGCTTAGGGGGTCTTTCATGCAGGTCCCCACATCTGTACCCTAAAGTTCAGAGTGGGGAGGGAAGCTTGACATGGTGGCAGATCGGTGGGATCATTATTGAACCAAAAGCACAGCAGGATTTTTAAAAGGATTCTTGTTAGTTTTTTTTCCCCTCTGCCTGAAGGCAGAGGGGTCAAGTTACAGTAACAAAGGAATTTACAAGATGGATTTTTTTTTTTCTTTCTAACTCTCGGGTATAGCTAGCTTAGACCCAGAAAGGCCGAACACTGACTGGTGTGAAAATCTCTGTTAACTAAGTAGCCCCTGAACTGAGTACATACCAGTTTGTGAACTGCAGAGGGGGTGTGGACCCAGCACAAGAAAGCAGGAAAATGAGTACCAGTGATGCCGCTAATAAACTAGAGCTGGCCAGACTGGAAGCACAAGAGAATGAAAAGAATCATAAGAGACTGCTCGAATTAAAACAACTCGAGAAAGAAGCTGCTGAAAGAGCAGAGAAAGCCAAAGAGGCTGCCCACAAGAGAGCTATGGAGGAGAAAGAAAAAGAGATGGAGGAGAGGGAAAGAGAGAGGAAGCATGAAATGGAGTTAGCGAGGGCAAGGGCTAAGCAGGATATACCAGACAACCCTAGCAACCCCTTTCCAGGTACCGCTTCCCATCCCAGAAAATTCCCCACCGACAAGGCAGGCGATGATACCGAGGCCGCCTTACGAAAAATTTCCGAAAGGGCTGCCTTGGGTACAGCATCACTTCAGACCAGTACATGGTAGAGCTGAGGCT